CCCTGGCGTAAAAACATCCGCTCTGTGCGGGCATCACCGGGCCCAGACCGCTTTTAGCCCACACTGCCTCCTCCTGGGGGGCGATGGAGCTTACCAGGCACTGCCTGGAGAGCTGGCCATCCTTTCGAATTCTGTGTCTCGGGGGATGTCTGAGCCAGGAGTCTCAGGGTCACCTGTTCCTCTACTGCTCCAGCCACCGGGGGCTCCGTTTCCATGACACCCAGAATCTGGCCAGACCCCCCACCGAGTGGCCACGGCGCCCTCTGGCCCTGCCCACGTGTGCTCGGACGGTCGCCTGCCCCTCGCTCCCCGTCACTCTGCCCCTCTCCTACACCACCGGCTCAGGGAGGCCCAGGCCACCTGATTTCAAATCCCAAACACCCCAACTCGTGGCTCCCCTGAGGGTCGGGACCCCACACTTTCTCCCTCCAGACACTAAGGCTCCACGGATGACGCGATCTAATACATTTCTCTCTGTAGTCGTCCGTCTCCTCAACTTGACCGTGAGCTCCCACAGGGCAGCCCTTCTGTCTCTTGGTTTCTCGCTGTAATTGGTGCGCAGTGAACATGTACAGGGAAGCAGGGAGGCTCCATGCAGGGCACTAATCTGTGAGGAGAGAGGCCTTACACCCCACTCCTTCACCTCTAGAAAAATGGGTGATGGGGCATCACCTACAGGGTCAGAGACCCGCCGGTTCCCTGGCTGCCTGGGTGGCACAGCTCTGCTGCGACCGGACCTCAAAGCCCCTCAAAGAGCTGGGAAGCAGGGCCGAGTCGGAGGTGGACGGGAGCAGGGTGTGCGCCCGCACGTTCTCCAGCCGGCGGCTCAAGGCCACACACACCACCCCAGGCTCGGGGTCGAGCCCGCGGTGCCCTCCCCAGGCCACAGAAAACAGTGGTCAACACAACAATGAAAACTCCCACACGGAGGAGAGGACAGAGGGCCCAGAAGTCCTGCCAAAAATCTAAAGGCACGTCCAGCACCACCCAGAGGCCAGATCAAAGCACACTGTGTGCTGCTGGGAAAAGCAACTCACACTTCTTGCACCAGGACAGGAAAACAGAAAATCAAAAACTAGACTCCAGGCAACTTTTACTTTGCGGACTTACCATTTTCATGCCTTTTCTGCTAGTGTAGGTTAAGGTTCCGCACACACTCTCTGCTCAATGACAGGGGCAGCAGGCTGCCCCGGGCCGTGGAAGCGTGGAGGCTCCTGCCCGCCTTGGCTTTCACTGCTGCAGGGGAAAGGGTTTCTCCCCTAGAACTAGGGCTGCGGGGTCTGAGCGGAGGCCTCTCACCCACGGCCCGGGGCCCGGGGCCCGGACAGCAGACTGCCCCTGCTCACCCTCCGTTGCTGGGTGACACGTTGCTGCTGAACGTTCAGGGTTAGGGTCTTGGCGACCTGCCGAGGGCAGGGTGTCTGTGAAGCTGTGTTTCAGGGCTTACGGAGTATCAGTCACAGGGCTGGTGGCTCCTGCCTCACCGAGTGCTCAGGGAGGCCGCATCACCGCACTAAGCTGTGTAGCAAGAGGGGTTTCTACAGTCCAATGCCATTTAAAACAATTTAAATTCAGATACGGAAACCTAGAATGTTTAAAATAGGTATTATATTACCCTTCTTAAAATTTAATTTTAAAATTACAAAAATAATTCCATTTATAAGAAACAAACAAACAGAAGTGTATATAAGGGAAAAGGTATGGGTTTCTCCCCTTTCCCCCTCCACTCCCTGCCCCTCCCCCAATACACATGCACACCCCCCACACCCTTCCCTCCCACCCGTGTCTAACTGCGGACACCTTTGCTCTGAGCTGTGTCCCTAGAGCAGGGGTGGGCAAACTTTTTGACTCGAGGGCCACAATGGGTTCTTAAACTGGAACAAAAGCACGGATGGAGTGTTTGTGTGAACTAATATAAATTCATAAATTCAAAGTAAACATCATTACATAAAAGGGTACGTCTTTTGTTTTGTTTTGTTTCATTCATTTCAAACGGGGGGATCTGGCCCACGGGCAGTAGTTTGCCCCCGGCTGCCCTAGAGGCTGGAGCAGCGCCCACCCCCTCGGCAGCGGGCACTCCTTAATTATCTATTCCATTAAGCATGTGACCTTCCAGACCAGTTTCTATACTAAGGACCACCACACACAAACACAGGATCACTTTATGCGTGTGACACTAAGGGGGGCGCCTGCACTTCTTTTAAAGTAAACCTCTGAACTCTTTCCTGAAGTGAAGGGCCCTATGGCATGTTTCTGGGAGGAAAATGGGATTATTTTTAACGTTTTATTATGGAGAATTTTACAAATACACAGAAGTGGACAGAACAGCATAACAAATCCTCAGGCACCCTCACCTAGACCCAACAGCCGTCCATACGTGGATGGATCCCAAACAAAATGTCATTTCCTCTGCAAACACTGCAGTACCTACGGCGAAAAGGTGAAGATCTTTTTAACATAACCACCGTGCTGTTATTAAGGAAGATGAGTGCCCTTTGAAATCATCATTTGCCCATCAGATGTCCAACTCCCTCATAATGACCATAATTTTTGAAAGGAGTGATTCCGGGTCAGTCACTGGTCTGACCGCATTTCAGTCAAAGCTGCGACCCTGGCGTGCGGCTAGGAGTGATCCAGGAGAGGGCTGGGCTCCTGGTCCCACGGAGGCCTTGACTGGCTGCCGAGTCCCGCCCGGCTCTGCGCAAGGCCCACAGCAGCAGGCTGGACGCGCTCTGAGTCCTGCCATCTCCAGTGCAGGGCAATAGCCCGACCTGCCTGCTCTTGCCCTGGACTCGCCTCAAGGCAGCCAGAATGAGCCAGGGAGAGAGGACCTCCCATGCCTCTGTCACTCTTGGGCCACTTTCCTTCGTACCTTCTATCCTCCCGTCTGGAACGGAGAAAGGTCGAGGGAGAAACAGCGTCCCCAGCAGAGAATTTCAAGGACCAAAGCTCTCTCTCAGGGACAACCTTGACAGTCACCCGATGGTGAACTCACACAACCAGCCACCACCCTGCTCGCCTGGGCAGGGAACAGGCCACCATGTTGCTCCAAGAAACACCGGGGGCAGAGCAGGGGGGCCACTGCCTGCCACCTCACCTTCCTAGGAATTCTTTTAACCAAGAAATTCTTAGCATGAAGGGGAAAGCCGCTGTGAATTATGAACACCCAGGAAGCTAATTCACTTGTACAGCTGCAGGGCCCAATCCAGGGACACAGGGGACGCCCCAGACATAGGTCCCGGGAGCTCTGGCCCCAGGCTCCCCACACAAGACATCAAGGTTCCGGTCAGGAGGCACCTCTGCAGCCCTCTCCAGCCACGCTCCCAGTCCCGCCCACCCCTCCCGTCACCAGAAATGGGACACAGCGGGAGGGGCGGGGGCCTGGGCCTGTCCCCGGGGTGTAGGGGAGGTGGACTCCCTCCAGAAGCAGAGAGAGCCGTTGATCTCCGAGATGCATTATTGATATTGCTGTGTGCTGGCACCGGGAGCGCCCTCCCCTCGGAGCCGGCCGTCAGGGTGCACTCCCAGCGCTGGCCTGGGTCCCTGCCTGGGGTGGCGACAGCACTGGAGAGAAAATGGGCCTCAGGCTACCCTCACAGTGGGGGTCGGCTCTCTTCCCCCAGGCACACTGTGGGCTGGCCTTGCAGCCACACCTTAGCCAGGGCTCCTGGCCAGGACACCAGAGCCCCGTCCCCAGAGGAGAGGTCTCTGCAAGGTTCATCTTCCAACAGACAGAGTGCTGGGCAGGAGGCTGGGCAGAGGCACCCAGGGCACCATTCCAGAGGGCACAGAGGACGGTGCAAAGCCCATTACAGGGGCCAATCTCCCTCCCACAACAGCTCCAGGTGCTGCAACACCCGCCAGGGAGGGAGCCCCCGGGGAGGGGCCCAGCGGAGCGGCCTCAGTTTGGCCATTAGCTTTTATTTCTTGATTGGATTCACCTGCTGGGTGTGCTACAGCCACATCAGCCTAGCCCTAGGGACGTGACGCCCAGGGGGACAGTTCTCGCCCACAGAAATGCCCAGTGCGTCCCTCACGCCTGCCCTTTTCCTCCTGGCAGCACATGGAGCCGGGTCCCCAGAGCAGGCCGCTTTCTCCTTCTTCGCTCTGGCAGGCCATGCGCACAGCCACCAACAGTTCAAGTGACAATCGGGGCATTCTCTCTTCCCGAAGCTGGCCCCGCCGCTGCCTGGGTCGCCTATTTCTGGGGCACAGCAATCATCCCCAAATACCGGCTGGGCCCCGGGCCTGGGGCAGAACGAGGTGAGAGGTGACGCCAGCATGTCACTTCGCCCCCTGGGAATTTCCACTCAGTGGCACCCGGTGGCTTTGAGCAGACTCAGAGCAGGAGGGCGGCTGCTTGGCCAGAAGTGCGGTCGGGCCGCAGGGCCTGGGAGGTGCTCCGTGCCCAGGGAGGGTGACACCACCCGAGCAGAGCCCCTCCCTGTGGCACACACTCCAGACCGCAGGCCCCGCGTGCAACCACAGGCCTCCTTTCAGCGAACCCCCCACCGTGCTGCCAGGCACCCACCCCAACACCAAACCACTAAAGGCACAGGATGCCCGGACCCCCTCTCCTCCCACGTCTGCACTGCCCCCTGCCCCCCCCGACCCCCCCCCCGACTCAGCCCGCGGCGCTCGCCGGGCGGTGGCAACAGGTGCAGCGGCGGCGGCTGGGGTTCCGCCGGGCTGCTCTGGAATCGCTCAGCCCAAACCCACTAGGGCCGGGGAGCCCGGCTGCAGCGCTCCCCGCAGGGCCGACCGGCCGCGTGGCCGAGCGCGGAGGGGCAGCGGCCTCCGAGGCAGAAACAGCCGCGGCCCGGCCTCGCCCGGTGCCAGGAGCGCGCAGCCCCCAGCGTGTCCGCGCCCGCCCGCCGCCTGCGTCCCGGCAGGAGGGGACCGGGAGGGGAGGGGAGGGGCGTAGGGGGCCGGGCGGGGGGGGCGAGGGGGCCCGCCGCCCCGCGCACCTGCCCGGCCCAGCGCTCTGCCCGCCCCCTTACCTGGCGCGGTGGGTCCCGGCGGGGCGGCGGCGCGGGCGCAGGAATGGCGGCGGCGGCGGCGGAGGCGGGGCCGGGCGCCCAGGCCGGTGTGCAGGGCGGCGGGGATGTGCGGGAGCGCGGGCGGCGCGGGAGAGCGAGCCGGAGGGCGCGCAGGCTCCGCCCCTGCTCCCGCCTCCCCTTCCCCTCCTCCTCTCCTTCCTTCCTCCCCTCCCGCCTGGCTCACCCCTCCTCTCACCTCCCTTTCCCTCCCTCCCTGCACCTTCCTCCTCTCACCTCCCTTTCCCTCCCTCCCTGCACCTTCCTCCACTCCTCACCCCTCCTCTCACCCCTCTTTCCCTCCCTCCCTGCACCTTAACTCCCCCCCTCCCCCCCCCCGCCCCCCCCAGGCCCCTGCTGGGTCCAGCACTAATTCTGATGAAGTACCTACTTACCTCCTTACCCCTGCTAATGGACCAGCTTGTCCCTCTGGGAACCCAACCATACCCCACCCTTTCCAGCCCGCCCCCCACAATCCCTAAGGTTTGGACACCCCAGGCCTGGGAGGGCCCTGCTGGAACCTCCTGCACAGCATGAGCAAAGCATGTGGGCAGCCAGGACACTTTTGCGTTTGCTTCTAATCAGATCTGATGTGGGTAAGAGCATTTCAAACCAGCCCCCCCCCCCCGCCCCCCCAGCACTTTCTGAGGTGAGGACAGCAGGCGCCTTCTCCCATCTAGGTTTTTCCCAAGCCCTTCTGTACCCCTCTGCCAACTGTTTACAGGGCTCACCATCTTTACACCTGATGCGGAGGTTCCCGGTGACACGTGTGTACGAACCTGAACCCGTGGGTGTGAGGCCCTGCGTGCCTGCTTCCACCTGAGGGAGACGTGATGGACCTGGGGCCATGGCTGGCCCATGAGCAGGCCTCTGAGGGACACTGGCCTGAGGTCAGGGGTCATGCTTATCAGGCCCCGCCACTTTCCTGAAGACCACTGGCTGCTGGGAGGCGAGCGAGAGTTTTAAAATGAAGCCGTTCCCAGAGCCTCGGTTCTCTTCAGGAGCCCCTTGTCTGTCGGTGCGGGGCCACCACACCCCCTCTCAGCCCCAGAGCCGGGGCTAGGGCCTGAGGACCAGGGAGCCAACAGGCCAGCAAAAACCCCGGTGGTTAAGCTAGAGCACAGGGCGCAGACAGGGGCGGATGGAAACTCACCCCTCCCTCTGGGGCGGGGGTCCTGACCTGGAATCTGCTGCTCCCAAGGTGAACCCGGGAGACCCCCCCACGTAGGGTACTAGGCCTGGAGCCAAGCTTCCGAGGTAAGGAGAGCGTGGTCGTCTCCAGGCCGGCCACATGCCGGAGAGGAGAGGCCTGATGGCCTGAGAGTCCGCAGCGCCCGTGCAGGAAGTGGGAGTGCTGTTCTTCCCAAGCTCCCGTCCAGCTAGAGGAGCCTATGATCCCTGTCCCCACCCCATTTGGGTTAAACGTAATGGGAAGGAATTAGGGCAGAGCAGTTCTAAATGCATCCCATTCCCCAGAGAGGGACCCACTCTTACGATCGATAAAGGCAAGCATTGCAGGAGTGGGGCGGGGCGCTCCCCTGTGTCCTTCCCTGGTGGGACACGTCTAGAACACGGTGCCCTTGCTTGGTGTGTAAGGACAGCCACCAGCAGGCCGTGGGAGTGTCATTGGCACACCCGGAGCCTTCACCGGAGACGGATGTGCGAGCACGGGGTGGTGGAATCCAAGCATCTGCAAGTCTGTCCTGGGAGAAGGGCTACCCTGAGAGTTGGGAAGGGCAGAAGGAGGATGGCTGCTGGAAGTTAGATGAGAGAGTTCGCCCACTGGGCGCGCTTCTGGCAGGTCTGTCTGCCAGAGGATCCTGCCGTCCCTAGAGAAGTCCTTCAGGGTCAGTGTCTAGACAGGTCTGGGGCTGCCCCGGGAGTGCTGCAGCAGGGGCTGGCGGCTGGGGCCGCTCCAGCTCTGGGACCAGGCCCTGCTTTTTCAAAACCCCGCCTGCGGCAGGCCCTGCACTCCCCACTCCCTCTGCAGAGAAGGCGACCTGGCGAGGAAGAGGCCTAGCTCCTTAGGGTTCCAGGCCTGGAGCCAAGCTTCCGGCTTCAGGGCCTCAGTCCCCACTCCCCAACCTCTCCTGGCCTGTGTCCTCGTTTGCGTAAGGGTACAGGAGAGACTTCTGAGAGGCCCTGCTTTCCTGTGGCCTCACCGGTCACACAAAGGGATCCAGTGTGTCTTTTCAGTCGTCACTGTTCTACACTCTACTATGGGACGTTTTAAACATGTGCATAGACTCCTCTCACCCCACGCAGGGGGCGGCGGCCTTGTGTCACCCACCCTCCACTCCCCCAGTAACGGTTTGAAACACATCAAAGCCCAGCAGGAACCAATTAACCTTCCAGCTTCCCCGGAAACGCTGCCTGCTGGGCACTTAAAGCGTCTCCGCACGTTTCCCCCCCCCCACCCCCCGCCCCCGGCAGGCGGGCACCCTGCACGTGCAGATGAGCACGGGGACTGCCTAGGTCCGTGGTCGGCAAGTTGCGGCTCGCGAGCCACATGCGGCTCTCTGGCCCCTTGAGTGTGGCTCTTCCACAAATACCACGTGCGGGCGCACATACAGTGCGATTGAAACTCTGTGGCCCATGCGCAGAAGTCGGTTTTCGGCCTGGGCGAGTCTATTTGAAGAAGTGGCCTTAGAAGAAGTGGGGGGTGTGGGTCGGTCGGGCGACCAGAGACGAGGCGCAGGCGGTCGCGGGATACGCAGCTTGGAGGAGGCGCGCGATTCATGCACGAGTTGAGTGAGCCAGTCGGTCTGCAGTCTCATGTGCAGTGGTTAGTGCTAGTCACGTCTGCAAATCGCGCACGGGTGACAAAAGTACCTACTCGAAGCATAAAGTTACCGTATTTTTCCAACCAGCTGCAAATCCTGCAGGTATTTTTGTCATCAATTCAAGAATTGTAATTCTTTCATGTTGGTGGCTTTATTATTATAAAGTGAAACATTTTTTTAGGTGCCCTGTTTGAGATGGCTACAAAGACGAAGCAAACTACCTATATAGTTTAAGTTTAAAAAATCTGGCTCTCAAAAGAAGTTTCAGTCGTTGTACTGTTGATATTTGGCTCTGTTGACTAATGAGTTTGCCGACCACTGGCCTAGGTGATGCTTAAATTCCTTGTGACAAGAAACACGGCGTGGCGGCTCAGACTGCACAGGCGACGCAGCTTCCGCTGTCGCCCCAGTGGACTGGGGGGGGGGGGGGGGGGGATGAGGGGAGCACACTGGTTTGGGCCTCTGCTCCTCCGTGGGCGGTGGAGCCTGTGGTGAGCGTGGAGCAGTTCTGGGGTGTCCACAGCAGGCATTTGAGCAAAGGGAGGGCGCTGGCATGTCTGCTTCACCTGCAGCACCTGGTGCAGCCCCAGCCCCAGCCCAGGACGGGGCTTAGCACACGGGCTGCAAGGCCACGGAAAGCAGCCCCTGGGGAACTGGGCTCTGGGGCTGAGGCAAGGTCTGGGGGCCTGTGTGCCTTCAGAGCTGAGGAATGTCTTTCATCTGTGACCACAAAGTGCTCTTCGGACGTGTGTGGGACCAGGCCCCCGCTGTAAGTGCTGCTGTGGCTGCAACTCCCTCACCATCCCCCACTGCAGAAAAGGCCCACCTCCTGCAGCCCTCAGGGGCTCCCCCAGGCGCCTCCCTGTCAGAGCAGTCTCTCCAGCTACAGAGAGAAGCGTCTGGGTGCCCCAAGGCCCTCCCTCCCGGACCCCGATAGAGGCAAGGGCTCTTTTCTTGCAAGCCCTGTTCTGGCATGAAGTGGTGAGCTGTCCTCACTGTTCCGAGCTCCTGCGCGGTGTCGTAGCTGTGGGACCGCTAAGTGCTGGCTCTCTGTGGGAAGTCTCCGCACACTCCCCCAGCGTCCCCGTGGCAGAGTGCACAGCACGCTTACTGAGCCCCCTTGTCTTACTCGGAAGCCGTGGGGCGGGTGCTGCAGGCAGGGGGCTGGAGAGGGCTGAGCAGCGCCCCAGCTGGAGCTGAGCTGGAGCCGGCCCTGGCCATGGGGAAGGCAGAGCGGATGCTGGCGTGCTGCCCGGCTGCCTTAGCTTAGAGCGGGCATCCTCATCGCCTGCACCAGCAGTGCCTGCCTGACCCCCAGAGGCCACCCATGCCGCCTGCTCCAGAGCTGCCGCTCTTCCCGTGCCCCTGCCTTTGCAAATGCCCCTCAGGCCTTACAGACCCTGCTCAGCCCTGGCACCACTTCTCCAGCCCCAGCCACACAGCCCAGCGCGGCCACGCGGACATCGCTCAAGCGCAGCCTCACCAGGGCCCGCTGCCCTCCTTTCTCCGGGTCTTTCTGGTTGGCATGGCCTTCATTTTGAGCTTCTAGAGCAGCGGTTCTCAACCTGTGGGTCACGACCCCTTTGGGGGTCAAATGACCCTTTCACAGGGGTCGCCTAAGACCATCGGAAAACACATATATAATTACATATTGTTTTTGTGATTAATCACTATGCTTTCATTATGTTCAATTTGTAACAATAAATTGGGGGTCACCACAACATGAGGAACTGTATTAAAGGGTCGCGGCATTAGGAAGGTTGAGAACCACTGTTCTAGAGTCTGGTGAAGTCCATCGACCTCTTTTCAGAGTCATGCTTTCAAATGCATAATATAAAATTCAGGGTTAGAAAGGAAACCTATTATGCTGAAATCCCGTTATCAAAATGACTTAAACGGTCACAGGTTTGCTTATTACACATTGAATAACATGAGCTAGCAGGCCTGATAACTAGTAAATGTGAAATCATGACAAGCTGCCTGGTATTTGAAGACATGATGTGAAAACGTGTGATTTCTACCGGGGCAGGTGGCGTGTTTGGCTCACATGACTGGCTGCATTCTGTCACCTGCATCAGTGCTCGAGGGAAAAGCTTAATTCTAGTTAGAGGTCACCCGGGGGGACATGTAATTTCCCATCTGCTCTACCTGGTGGAGTGTCCACATTCATCCTGATTGAGAATTAGTGTTTGAAGGGAAGGGACTTTGGGTCGCCAGCACCCAGCACACGGCTGTAACAGGGCCTCCAACATGCTTATTGCTCTAAGGAAGGAGACAGGACTCAGCCGCAG